AAACCGAATCCGAAAGTTTTCCAAAATGAACAAGTTCAAAATCCAATCCAAACAAGTTCAATACCAACATAGTTCATAAATAAGCGGAAGCAATTTAATAAGCATAATAAGCAATGACCACCACCCGTCTTGTCTCGTCACGCGCCACTGCTTAACTTGCATCAGTTACGAGCAGGTGGGAGTGAGTACAGTTAACTATCGTACTCACACTATGCACATGAATAACATAATAATGGTATGGTCGCAGCATGAACATAAACAATAAAATCATGTCACATCTCTAGTCACATCAATGACTCTAGTCTCATCAAAGACTCACTCATGTACATCTATGCTCATCAAAGCTAAGCCATGCCATATCAGTGAAACATGGGAGTGCGTGCCACATCAATCACGGCCTTCTCATAGGTCTTTATGAGATTTACCTCACAGGGTAACCGTATCTTATCATACGGGGACAACCGTACCGATGGCCATCAAGCTCACACCCATAGGCTACATGTTCATTTTCATACATAGATCACACCAAGTTTTCAACACAACTTAAGTCACACATATGCATAGAAAATTTTAGAATAACCCACCTGGATTCCGGATTGATAATAACTCAAAGCATTGGAAGTAGGTCGAGGCTGGACTCCTCAATTACCTACATTGAGTCAAGATGCTACAATCAACAACTATCTTGACTTTAAACGGAAAAACACAAAACAGACCTAGTCGAACTTGTTTCGACTAAGTAGTTCGTGAAGTTCTGTGGATGTTGGAACATTAAGACTCGACACTAAACTCGACCAAGCCACATAAGGGAGATCATATAAATCCATCCAAGGATTGACCAAGTCAAACTCACAACAAAACGAAAAGCAAGTCAATCACAGATTTAACTTCAAAATCTTAGTTTAGAAATTTCTAGCTATTAATCACATGAAATTCATTGACCAGGCTGCCCGACGACTTATGCCTTGAAATTTTAACCAAAAACTACATCTCCCAGTAATTAGTAAAACCATCAAATTTCAGCTTCAAACTCAAAGCACATAAATTTATAAAATTCCTACAAGAATTCATCAAAAACGCACATGAATTTATATCTGAACCTACTGAATGAATCAGGACTTGAAAATTTAACACTACAACATACAGCATGCTAGAGTCAATGTGTAAAAATCTCAGCCCTTAATATTAACTGCTGCTATTTTTAAAAATTCATACGAGATTTGGCAGTTTATCGAATTTAAATCAAAACCGAATCAAAATGGACTCCAAAAATTCCCATCTTTTAACAGCATGATAATACACATAAAATAAGAATCTCAGCCAAGTTTCAGAATTTTTCACAAATTAACCAATTTATAGAAATTCAAACAACTTTCAGCAGATTCAATAAATAATTTATTAACGATAACAAATTAAGTCCAAATATTATGAAAGTTTAACACAACATATAAACATCACGGAGGCATGACATACTCGAATTTCAGCTCATTTGGTTCATGAATGAATTTATTAAGCAGTTAACACTATTCTGAACAAATTTCATTCTATTTATTAAAAATAGCTACAAGCCTTTAAAAATTACGAAATTTGTACACAAGCTTGAATATGAACAGAAAACATAACCCTAAAAATTTCAAGTCATTTCGAGTAGCGTGCAATTTTTAAAAATTCGAACACCAAAACAACGACATATAAGCTCGACAATTTAACAATTAATTCATAACACGAAATTTCTCGTCCGAGGCCTTTTCGTAAGACCAAGGACTCGACATTGTTCCAATATCCACTGACTTACATGACTTTCGAGGTCTCGCTCCATTTTTATTTTAAAAAATCGAAGAGATCCCGAACAACACGAATACACATAAAATCATCTCTTTCACATAAATTCATGTCGAACCCATTTTCGCACAATAATCAAATCTCGCATATCAAATAGTAAAGGGCACAACACGACATTTAAACATGATAGGAAATCAACATATAAACGATTTAAACGAGACGGGATCGACTAAGTACCGTTCTCGGGAAAACTCGAAAAACGGAACGAAGAAGACGAACGGGGATGATGGGCTCAACGGATTCTCGCGTCTCGCCGAGAAAAGAGGTCAGCGGCGGAGGAAGGGTCGCTGCTCGAACGGAGGGACGCCGCTGAGGTGCTGCTCGAACGGAGGGACGCCGGAAAAATCCACGAACAGCGAACAGGGAGGCTTCTCGCGGCGCGGCAGAGCTGCTGGGATGGCGTCGCGGCGCGGTGGAGATGCTGCGGTGGTGTCGCGGCGCGGCGAAGGGCCTGTTCGCAGCGCGGTGGTGTGCTGGTCGCGGCGCGGTGGTCTGCTGGTCGTCGGATTTCGAGCGTGATAGGTGATGAGGGGCGATCGGATTTTGACTGAGGGAGATGATGATGGTTTATGTGCGACGAAAGGAGGATGGCGAAATTTCATAAACGAAACGAGCGAGAGGGAAGAAATTTTCTGATCAGATCGCGATGTCGATCAGATTTGGGGAAGCGAAGAAAAGCTGCGGGCGTGTTTCTTGCGAGCGAGAGAGAAAAATAGCAGATAAAAAAAATAGACTAGGGCTTTACTTTTTTTTTTTCCTTTCTTCAAAAGACACGCATACACACATAGCCTAAGGGAAAAACTGGGCCGGTTTTAGGCTGGGGCACACGGGTTCGGCCCGCGGGTTCGAGTACAATACATCGACTCTCGGGCTCGCTTTAAGTGAAAATATAATCCCGCTTCCTCAATAAATAAAATTTAACGGCTCGGTTCCAATGATCGACAATTTAAAATTAAATCGACATAATATTTATATATATATTACACACATTAATTAATTAAATAATAATACACATTTAAACATTTAATTGACAATTAGGCATTTAAAATAAAATAGTAATAACAGTAATATACAGGTAGGGTTCTGCCTATCACGCAGCTCGTCACATCTCACATGTACTCCGAGATCACGCACACGTTTCCTCCATCAAGAGGCACAGAACGTGTCATGCATCCTCGCGAGTTCCGGTGGTGGAGTCAACAATCAGGCTAAGTCATCGACTTGGTCGAGAATCATAATAGGACTGAGTACGCGTGGCAGTAACCAGACAACGGCATACTCCACCTCTATCCGTACCAGCCACCTCGCATGGTACCACTAGGGTTGTCGCTAGATAACCATCATTACCAGCGTACCTCCCTAAGGAATTTCTCACCCCCTACTCATCTATCAATACACAAGACCCTAACCGGTCCTTACGTGTCTTGATAGTATGCTCCGACATAATCAACATATAGGGTTGACTTGTTGTATCGAGCTTCATTCTCGTACCCGGGTCACGGTAGATAACTCGATTACTACAACGACATGATCCGTGCGTCCTTATAAAACAGGGCACCACGGAATCCCATACGGATGGGCTAACCATTCACAATAACACTATATCCTCAACACCGATACCTACAGAACACACGGCTCTGTTTGATACCGTTGTCAATAACTCTTTCCTTGCCGACTCGAATAACACCTCGAATGCGGTTTAGGAAAATATTGACTAGATGATCGAAAACAATCTTCTATCGCAGAATCGGTCTCACGATTAGGGATGCTCGATATTCCCATACTAACGATCTAACACCAATACTCTCTCATTCTTCGTAGGCATTTAAAATAAAATAATAATAACAGTAATAAAAATAGTAATAATAATAACAATAATATTAAATAAAAATATCAAATATTCCATAAACGAGCGGGGCGCTACATCTACCTTGACTTAAACGGAAACACAAATCATACTTAGTCGAACTTGATTCGACTAAGTGGTTCGTGAAGTCCTGTGGACATTGGAACACTTAGACTCGGCTCTAAGACTCAACCAAACACGCATGAGAGTTCACATAATCTCAATCAAAGATTTACCAAGTCAAACAAACAAAGAATAGCATGCGAGTCGGTTTACAATTTTTAACACAAAAACTATATTTTCGAAATAAAAGCCGGTAATTCACATAATCAGGTTGGTCAGGTTACCGAACGAGTTAGGCTCTGAAATTTTAACCAAAAATTCATCTCACTGGACTTAATAAAACCACCAATTTCAGCCCTTAACTCAAAACACATGATTTTATAAAATTCACACAAGTTTACAAAAAAAAATGAGCATAAATACACAACATGACGTAATGGATGAATCATGACCTGAAATTTATACACGAGCAGCTACAACATGTGAACAACAACATATAAAAGTTCCAGCTATTAACATGAAACACACGATTTTTAAAAATTAAAACAAGTTTCTGCAAATTTTGAATTTTTAACAAAACTGAACCAAAAGGGATCCAAATAAATCCCATCTTTTTACATACTTAAGTATATCACAAAATAAGCCCAGACACCAAAATTCAGCAATTTACCACATCGGGTCGATTTATCATAATTAATTTACGTATCTGCAGAATAAATTAAATAATTTTTAACCCTAGCAAACAAAGTCCAAAAATTCTGAAAATTTTACACAACCTCTAAATCAGACAGTGAGACAACATATTCAAATTTCATCATTTTTTTGGAGCAGAACTCAATTTACTATGCATTTAACACGATTCTGCCTAGAAATCACATTAATTAATTAAAATAGCTTTAGTTAGTATTTTAATCTAAAATTTTTGCACGACATACATATTCATCAGAGGACCTTACTCACAAAATTTCACATCAATCGGATCAATATGCAATTTATCATGAATTTAATACTAAAACAGCAATAACACATGTTTATAAATTCATAACCGACTCGATTTTCGACGAAACCGTCCAAGGTCTTCACCATAAGACCAAGGATTCTATAATGTTCCAATTCACTGTACTTACCACGTTTATAACGAGGTCTAGTTCGATTCCACACGAATCATCACAAGATCTCAACACATAAGCAACATAAATGTATATATTTATACACGAAATGATACGATACGTCAATATGTTCGAAAAAAATGGATCGGACGAGGGTTGACGGGATCAATTTGCGTGTGACCTTCTCGCGGGGTGAACGGCTCGACCGCCTTCGCTTGGGTTCGATCGCCGGTGAAACAGTGCACGTCGCTGTTGGTTCGAGGCGAGGTGCTGCGGAGGAGCAGCAGGGTCGTCGGAGGTGCTGCGCGTGGTGGAGGAGGGATTTCGACGATCGTGATGGCGATCAGGGTTGCAGGCTCACGCGGTGGACAACTCGCCGGCAGGAGAGGGCTCGCGGCGTTGCTGTGCGGGGTCGGGGAGGACTGGTTCTCGGCGTGAAATAATCCGGCGAGAAAAGACGAGCACAGGGTGATGGCGCGACGATGATGGTGGTTATGGCGAGATGAAGACGATGATGAGAGGGTGAGGGATTTCTCTACTGATCGCACGAGGGATAAAGGAGAGAGAGCAGCGGGATTCTCTTCTTCGACGAGAGAAAAGAGACGAGAGGTTTGGCGAGAGAAAGAGAAAGCAGATATGTCTGCGGGTTGATGAGAATGAGCGATTTAATCATCAGCTTACGGTTTACTGCCTTGATCTCCAAGATACACACTCACACACGCACATAGTTAGGGGCGGACCGGGTCGGGTGGCGGTTCGGGCTGAGGCGCGGTTCCCAAGAATTCGGGCCGGTCTCTCGGGCTCGACTTAATCGTATATATTAATTTGGTTCGACTCGACAATTTAAAATAAAATCGGACATA